TAAATTTGAATTTATTTTTCAAATGACAAAATTAAGCCTTATATTTTTCACACAAAAATACCAAACATCAACACTTATCATTTGATAAAAAGATTTCTAAATTGAAAATATAACAAATAATCTAAACTTTTTGTTTAATTAAAATAACAAATAGAGTATCTGCTGAGCATCCCTAATTTTATACTTGTTTTGATTATATTTTTCTTTTTTTCTCTTTTAATAATGAGTGAAACTTGTTGTCTAATGTGAACTCTCTCTTTTTTTTGGTTTTTAAATTTTTTTTAATATGTAGAATTAATTTATGAAATTTAAATTTTAAGAATTCTAACGATAATCACAATAACAATACCAAAGAAAATATTCAATAATTTTGAGAATTTCGTTTGTTAGTTTACAAAAATATTAATAAAAGTATGTAATAACAAGTCATGTGACAGTGATATATGGGAATCAACTAATTAATTCAAAATTTATATTGATAGCTAACTATCCAACTGTTTTGTTTATTATTTCTTCTCTCTCTCTCTATATATATGTATCAGAAAAATAATTAAAATTTATTTCATAGATATCCTCAAGAGAGGACCTTTAATTAAGGTGTAAGAAAAATTGATGGAACTATCCACCATTGAACAATGGAAATTTTATTTTTGGTATTTTTTTTGGGGAAGGGGAGCTTGTCTCATGTTAAGATTAAGATTAGACTCGTCCAGTCCAGTCCATGGGCTCATTTTTGGACCTGTTTCAATAATCTGAACCGTTTGTGTAGACCTTGTCGAGTACTATATTCTTGTAAAAAATTACGTTAATCGAATATCGATAACTATTTGATCAAATCATAATTCTGTCAACTGTTTATTTTTTTATCGTTTACTTTTTTATACAAATTTGATTCAATCAAATAGCTATCGATATCCGATCAACGTGATTTTTATACAATATAAGTACTCAATGATTTTTACACATCGAACGGTTTGAATTATCGAACGGGGACCCAAAAATGAGCCCATGAGCTGGATTAGATGGGTCTAGTTCTGATCTCAACGTGAGACTAGCTGAACCCTTTTTTTTCCATAATATTTAGTCTTTTTCGATTTTGAAAAATTATATATGGATACAAATTGAACTGACTCAAAAATTATTTTTAAGGTACTTTTTATATTTTAATTATTTGAACTTCATAACATAAGTGACTATTAATCCATGTTTTGTTATAAAATAAAAATATAGAGGAGAGAGAGGGTAGACAATTATAAATAACTTTTACCTTTTTTGATGTAGAACAAGTAGCCGAAAACTTCTTGGAACAATTGGACCGACAAAAGGCAAGAAAAAAGATGTAGAACAAAATTTTATAATTTTATAATTTTTATATTTTCTTAATTTTATTATTTAGAATTAGGTTTTTGACTAGGATTTTAAATAGCTTAGAATTTTTAGTTCTTAGGTTTCTTAGTTAGGTTCTTAGTTCTCTTAGGTTTCTTAATTTGTGTTTATTTAAGTTTCCTAGTTTATTTTGGAATCACTTTTCCTACAAGTATTAGGTATAGTCTATTATAAATAAGCCTACAAGCATATGTAATTGTCATTCATTCAATAATATTTTTGAGAGCTTTCTTCTATCTTCCTTGTGGATTCAAGGGTGTTCTTGTGGATTCAAGAATTCTCGTCTACTAGAATGATATCTAGTCTTGCGTGATTTATTCCGCTGCGTCAAGTGGTATCAGAGCGGAGATTCACCTGGCTCAATGGCACAAGACAGAGTAGATCATGCAAACCCTACTGGCGGTGATCGTGGGGTCGAGGCCCTGTAGGTAGCATATGAGAAACAGCAAGAGCAGTCGAACGAAATTCGTGATCTGCTTATTGGCCTGAATCTCAATGCCAACAACAGGCCACCAGTGGTTGATAGGGTTCGTGCTGAGGGAGTTGCCCAAGGCCAACCTATTAACCAGAACAGAGTGCACACCGAAGGATTTGCCGAGGTCAACCTGTTCAGAATGCTCATAGATGGTCCCCTTGTTGTCCATCTAGTATGCTTATCTAATGTGAAATGGGAAGTTTTTAATATGAGTTACTGTCTCATATGAATTGTTTGGCTAGGTTCTGAGCTATGGTTGAAATCTGAGAATTGAAAGGAATTGGAAAAATGAATTGTAACATGAACTTGTATATCATGAAAATGTAAAGTGTAATAAGGGAAAGTATCAGTGTTGACCATCTATCAACTGCTAATCTTTTAGTCATTGTTCATATTTGGTTTAGTGTATTTCTACTGGGTTGTGGCTCACCCTATATGGGAATATCATTTTCAGGTCAGGTAGCATGCCCCCTCCAAGACATAGCTTGGGAGGCTAGAGGCGGACACACTTTTGTCGTTTTATTTTTGATGTATTACATGTAAATTCAAGCCAAGGGCTTAATGTGTAAATGAGTTAGCACTCTTTTGTTGTAACCAAGTGTTAACTTGGAAAGCTGTAAGCCTTTAGGGCATTTGCTTTTGTCGTTAACATGTAATACCTTTTGTAATGAGACTCTGATAAATTGAAGAAGGTGGAACTTTTATATATCAATGCATGTTTATTTGATGGGTTTAATGTTATTATTTTGAGGGCGTTACAAGATAGATCTTCCCAGTTCAATGGAAATCTACATATTGAGGATTTTCTTGACTGGCTTTCAGAGGTGGAGTGATTTTTTGAGATGATGGATGTTCCAGAATCAAAGATGGTGAAATTGGTAGCGTACAAACTAAAAGGAGTGCTGCGGTATGGTGGGATCAATTACAGAAAAATAGGCATCGACAGGGAAAAGAATCTGTACGAACTTGGCGTCGGAT